AACAAAAGTTTTAACTCTGATTAACAGTGTCAAGGTTTAATGGTTGCATTCTGTGGAAAGTTGGCTGAGATATGATTTTTTTAAAATGACCTTTAATTTGCCCAGCAGGAAAAGTAATTTGCATAACTAGAGCTGAACGGTAATTTCGCAAAAGTGGCACCTGACCCAGACTCAAGTCTATGATAAATCAGAAGTACTAAGACCAGTCTACTTCTTAATGTAATAAAATTTGTGGGCACTCTTCTCTGCGCGCTGTACAAAGTTCCGTTAATGTTCCTTCATTCTCCTCCCCCTCCCCCGTCATTCCTTTTTTTGCTCTCGTCCCAACTTTCTGGACGAACTCGCGAGGAAACGCTAGCTACGCAGGCTGAATTTTTAGTTGATGCATCGCTTGACAGGCTCAACAAAAGAGAAACTCTGGTAATGTAGCTGAAAAAACTTTTTAAAGGAACTATGTCCATCTTACTGCAAAATCATAGCAGAGCCTTTGAACTAGTTATAAGACGTAATAAAATCCCCACCAAAGGCCTATGACTAGCAACACCATCCCAAAAATAACAGGGCCCCTTAGAGCTCCGGCAGCAACCGGCTATAACTATGAATATAGTAAAATACTAAACGAATCAGACGATGTTTAAAGCTGTTTAAAAAGATGTTTACAAAAACTCTACCTAGCACGACAAATCCATAGAGTTTTATGTACAGTGAATGAGATTTTTTGAGTGAAGTTCTTGTCGTTTAATTATTTAATCGAAAAGGCGCAAGAGAAAATAATTGCGCGCTCCAGTATCAGCTTCTTTGGTGATCAGTAGTTTGTCTGTGTCATGATTTGAACTGGTAAGGATTTGGTCTATGCATTGAAAGGTAAAGTCAGAGAAAGTGTGTGGTGTTTTATCAAAGTGTATTGCAACTTCGCAAGTTTTCTTGTTAGTTTTCCTGGATGATTTGTGGTTCCTGAATTTAACTTTCAATTCAGTAGTACTGAGGATTGCATTTTAAGCAGTGGACCAAATGAACGACATTAGTGGAATTACACGACAGCCGTTGTTGTACGAAGTAGGTTTTGCCAGCTTGGGCGCTACAAAACGTGTTGGAGTTCACACATATTTCATATATATGTTTAAAGCGTATTGCTTCGTTACTTAATTTTAGTTAGGGATTTTTATAAGAAGGAAATAATTTTGGCGTTGTAAACACCTCGAAAGTTCAATGAAGATAAGTTAAGTCTTTTCTAGACGACCATATTAGGTCTATGTAAGCGTTGATTTGAGTTAAGCAGATGGGTTTTCAATGTAGTCCCTAACAAAGCGGGGCGCGGCAACTTTAACCAGAGAACAAGCGAGTGGGTAGAGAACTTTAAAATGAGCTAAAGTGGTCAAATAAGAAACAATTATCATTATCTTGTTAAGAAAAAGTTCCTCCAACAAAGCGACCAACTTCAAAGGCAAAAAAACTCGTATTGTAACCCTTGGACGTACACGCAAATTTATATCCCCACCGTGGTACAGGGGAATGGGGGTGGATAGGATGGAACCCCCCTAGGGTTTTTGATATGTTGTAATATTTCGAAACAATTTTACCTTCAGTGGAAAGGCTTTGTTCTTCTAGACAAGATGAGGTATATTTTATGGGTGGTAGCGCTGCTGGAGGCCTGTGACGTCACCAACAATGGTCGTAATCTTGGATTTTGCCAAGAATTAGAAATCTGGTTAAAACCGTGAGAAATGGTTATTTTTTGTGCTTGACGTGAAAAATAACACATAAGCACTTTGCATGATTTTAGCCACAAGAATTACTATTATTGTTGAAAAAAGTGTAAAAAACATGTACTTTCAGTCAAGAATGGCTTGACCACCTGCTACTTATGACGTTATATCTCGTAACCATAGAGACTGACCATCACTCAACTTGACTCAAAATGCGCGCCAGAGATGAAAGACACCCTTTTAACAGTATTTTGGTCAGAACCAAATGTACCTACTTTTTAGGCCTTGAATTGCTTTCTTTAGCTAATTGACGACAACTTTTCAAGTTTGCAGTCTTTACTGAAAAGTTCTTGTGTAAACAGCTGTCATATGGCTGTACGGTACATTGCATTCTGGTATACTTATCACTACAACGATCTCCAGAGGCAGCTACTTTTGCTAGATTATTGGACTTTTCATAAATAAATTACCACGATCGAAAGCCTAATTCATCATATGGGAATTTGCTTTGGGCTAGAAAGTTGTTGAGGTGCTATCCAGTCTTCTCCCATTTACACCCGATTTTGGGCTAGAGTAATAATAACCCTTGCTCTACATGGGGAACAAAACCGTAAAAAAGAGGACTTGTACTAACATAAGCTACCACAATGCCTTTCTTAACTGATACATCAATAACAGGTGACGCTAGCCCTTTCCAAAACTTTTAACGTAAATTCATTTTGGGCTTCAAGCGTTCTTTCTAAGACCATTCAAAAACGTATTAGTTGCCTTACTGTACATGTAACTTAATCCATTGAATATATTACATCTATCATCTGTCATGTTTGGTTACCAATGAATTGGCATCGACCGTTACAAAGGGGGCAACGACCAGTTACGGTCGAAAGGGAAATCGGCTTCTCTTCTCGTTCACGCGCTAAGACGAAGAAAATGATGAAGAAGAAGAAGTCTCCAAAAGCCATAAACGCTTTATGGATAATGCTCAGACAAAATATCCATCGCTTTCCTGAGTGTATCACAACGAAGTGCCATATCCCTGTTTCCTCTTCCGCCTCAGGTATGCCTCTTTAAAAACCTGTATATTTTGTTTTTAAAGTCCCGCCCACTTTAATCTAGTACAACATTTTATAATCACCTTATTTGATGGTTTAACGGTTGATACGTGCACGTATTAGTTCAGTCAAGTTGAGGGAAAAGTTGCGAACAATGAATGAAATGTCAGCCCGCAAATCACTTCTCCGCTTAAGTATTACATAAGGAATTTATTTGACTCCACTTAATTTCCGTTCATTGTTCAAACAACTGAAATAATCTCCAGACCAGAACACACGAAACAAGAATGTTTAATGTTCTTACTTAGCTCCTACGCATTTCCTGAAGCTCAGTGCGTGGTATCTGCATCTGGACTAGAACTCGGGTGTTTTCACAGCCGCCTCTATCACTGACTGAAAAAATTCTTATTAACAGCATCGCTCTGGTAATCGATGCTTCAAATGACACAGAAAATAGTTAAGTGAGAGACCATAGAGTTCCTCTCTGTTTGGTGCTTAGCAATAAAGAAATGTTAATGCCGCATTGCCGAAATAACTCAGGTAGTCAGATCTTGGATTGACGTCACATTTGATGTAACCTTATTGTGTTTATACTCAATGAACTTACACCACAGTTGACCGATAGGAAACTGTTAAGGATTTTTAAACATCTTTCTTAAGTTATAAAAGTTACAAAAGTTTTTGTGGTTACTTAAGACTGGAAGAAGATCACGTAGAATGGTATGATTAGGTTTTTTCTATTATGTTTTAATTATTATCATTTTGCTGTTTTAATTTAATGTAAGCTTTGCAGTCTAGAAAGCAAGCAAGCTCTTTTTCAAATTGTATAATAAAAATATCTCATATGGTGCATAAACATCTCTACTTTACCAACCCCGAATCATGCTCAACAATCACTGTGCGCATAATAACGGCAATTTTTTTTCCCGCAGAAAGTCAGTTAGACACATACATTAAATACATGTTAGGGTTCTTGAAGAATGAAAAAATTCACCAGTCTTTCCGCTTTGGTTTCAGGAAGCGTTCTGATATCACTAGTCAATGAGTTGTTCAATACGTCATTCGCATTTTTAATATAAATAACCTGTTGGTAAAGTTACTTATTAATAACTTCTGTCGTTAATAACATATCAATATCATTTAGGCGTCTTTTGGTTTGGGTAAATAAATCTCACTGCCAGAAATAGCAAGAGTCTGGATACCGAAGAAATATCAGAGTGAGCCGGCAAGGTAAGCTGATGACCGTTTACAAACAACAATTTATGATTAATTCAAGCTGACAAAGCTAAAAGGGCAACACTTACCATGGCACGTAGCTATTCACACATTTTCAATTTAATGAGCTCACTACAAACTTCATTTCGCTTTATGACATGTAGTCATTGTGAACAGTACTACGGGAAAGCCTAATATCACTGTTACATCCAGTCAAGCTCTTACTTCAAACTGATTTAGAAAGGAAAACAATCTCTTTTACTTCAAAGGTAAGGTTGAAAAAAAATATACCGAAGTTTCTTCGATGAACCCTGCCAGTGCGAACGGATGTAACTTGCATTCATATGCTCTACTATTGTTTTGCAACCCTTGAAAATGATTTTGCGCTGTTGGTTGTTTATTATCGTTGTATTTCCATTTTAGAAGGATTGAATCGGTTTTATAAGAATAACGTTCAAAGTGTTTCGAGCTTAGTCGTAGGAAATTGGCAATATATCGAAATCATGAGACTCTTTAGTGACTTTGAAAAACTAAATGCTCAATATTTCTGAAACTTTCCGCCGAGTGTTTTGCCTATTAAAAAATCATAGCGCCTTACGTTCGATTTACATTTTATGTTTTTGCGAAATAGCCCTTAGATTAAAGCTTTCTTTTATTAAATTTGAAAAGAAAGTTCAAGCGAAATTGTTTATCGCAAGGATAAAATTTTGGCCAAAAATACATCAAAACACAAAAGTAGCGTATAATATCTACATTGCAAAATTTGCTTGCACTTATTGATATGACGTCTTGTAATTTAAACCTTAGTCATGACTAGAAATAAATTACACACAGGCGCATTCTGTACATGCAAAGCCATTATTCGCTGATTATATCGGTTATCTATTGATTGCTTTAATCGAACAGCTAGGTAGGGATGACTGTTTAGTGATTCAGCGTTTTAAATAGCAAGCTTCGTCTTAGCACGGTATTGGGCTTTGTCAATATATTCGCTCAACCACGATGCATTGTTAGCATATCTATGTCGTGGCCGTAAGTGTATTTTTAAGAATGCTCTTCAGGGAAAGTGGAAACGAGCGAATTGGTTTTTGAAGGTTGGATCAAATTTTAGCTGAAAACCCTTTCGTTCGTCAATCATTTGCACAGCTTGAAGGTAAATTGCAGCCTCTTATTTTACTGCTTACTTTTTTCGCAATGAAAGTTTATCTTCCTTCCCATATTTATACAAAAAATGCTCATGTAAAATACTTCCAGCGACTAAATGTCCCGAGTCCTTGCGCTCAAAATGACACAGTGATCGTCCCTGATCGTCTTGTCTTTCAAGTCACGCGAGCACAAAAGCTTAACGTTTTTCCATTCCTAAAATTACGGAAACAGGAAGAGTCATTTCGCTTAACAACTGGCGACACGTTACGATGATGCTTAACATCACGTATTCATGCACGCAAGGGCAACTAATTATCATATGTTATTGTAATACATTATGGGTCCAGTGCGTGGGCAAAATTCTTTTGTGTATTTTCTGTTGTCTTCTCAATACTCCTTAATAAGAGATCGTGTGTGTAAAACTTGCTATCGATATAAGTCCTAAATGGTAGTTCTAGGTAGCATTCCAACATTTTCGTTTCATTTTAGAGGCTTATTCAAGAAAGAAGTGCATTGTTACTCCGAGTCCCTTCCATTCCATAATAAGCCCACTAGACTTTTAAGATTAAAAACCGAAATGGTTTGGCTCTATTTTTCCTATGGATCTGATCAGATTTTAGTTTTTTTCTTTATCTGCATTCAGTCAAATAAATATATATAAATATAAATATATATCCCACAAGATATTACGTACATATCATGGATGACAAATTACTCCTCAATTTTGGCGCGAAATTTTAGCGTAAAATTATAATTTCACATATGAAATGAAAACATTACCATGGCAACGTTCAGTTCGTCTGACTGGCAAGATGGCGTCCAAGTTTTAAAATGAATGAAGATTTCAGGGCGTTAAAAGACGCTTTAGAAAACCTAAACACAGGAAAGAGTCCATCAAGAAGGATTCTAAAAGGTATTTTCTCGTATAATACAGAAACTTGTAAACTTATTGGCCAAAGTAGACCTTGTCACGGTTTTCGACGCCATATTGACGAGTAGGCTAACGTGTGAGAAATTGCAGTGTTTGTATGAGAATCTAATGTCGAATAATTTCTGTAAAACGGCAGTTCTGAAAAAAATATTACTTGCAAACTGAAGCTACAAAACAAAGGATTGTACTAAAAAATTTTTGGGGCGTACCTGTGCTTAAATTTCTCCAGAGGCTTGCTTAAGATTTTCCATATTTTTGTCTGTAATTTTTCCCGGAACTTTGTTGCCGACAAATGTATAGAAAGTTTTAAAAAGTGGTTCTAGGTCTTTTAGCGCATGTAACGCCCTCAATTTTTTTTTAGTAGAATCCTTAGGAGTGAAGCTTTAGTTTACAATTCATATTTTTTTCAGAACAGCCGTTCTACGGAAATTATTCGACATTAGATTCTGAAACAAACACTGTAATTTCTGGCGCGTTTACCTACTCGTCAAGATGGCGTCGAAAACCGTGACAAGGTCTACAGTTTATGCTCTAAACTTTTCAGAGCGTGGAGTTCTCGATACGATGAACATTGCGTAAAAAATTTATTCAATTGTGAGTGTAATTTGTCACTCGTGATGTTACCAGGTAATCAAATGTAAACTTCGTGAAATTAGGGAACTCGGGCAAAACGAGATTGGAATTATTCCTTGGTTTCACTCGTCATCATTTGGTTACACATAACAATTATTTTCATCGTCGGTGCCGAAAAAAAGTTGTTGAAATATACAGACAAAGTCGTATCTAACTTAACCGTGATGCTTCCATTTCACTATACAGTAGAACTGAAAATGTCAAGTAAAAGCTCCTGCAAACATTAAGCTACGTTCATTCATTCATTCATTCATTTATTTTTGTCATTAACCAGAAATACAACAACAGTGTACAGAAATACATTAAAGATAATATACAAAATCCTAACTAAATTATTTACAAGATCAAATGTTCAGAGTGGTAAAAAGAAGAAGATGCCGGGGGCTTATAAACTATAGGCTTCCTGGAACTGTAGGGTGAACCATGCAAATGAAGGGTACTGATTGAAAATTTGGATTAATTAAAAAAATACATAAAGAAAAGAAAAGAAAAGAAAAGAAGAGAAAAAAGGAAAGAGAAAAAAAGAAAATGCAGTGTCCTGAATATGCCACGGTCAAATTATACTTTTTGTCATGTCTCTGCTCATTACAGATAGTCTCTAACAAGAATTTGTTAAAAGACGAGCTCATACTTAACTGTAATTTGTATTTTGCAGAGCCAAATCGGAAAGTGAACCTCAAAGATGACTTTTAGCCAGAGGTTTCGCTTAAACCTGATCCAGGAGGCTAAAACAGAGCTAGACTTCCTTGCTTTGGTAGATGATTTTCCCAGTTTGTATGCGGGTCCTATCCTTAAAAATGCCATCAGGAGATATGAAATGTTCTGGCTCCCACTGGCAGCTAGAGAGGGTAGCGGAAGTAGACTCCTTGCAGCTCCATTAGACATTGCTTGGGTGTGGTATCTTCACATGTTGTCGCCACAAGATTACGAACAGGACTGCATGAACATTGTCTCTCACGTTGTTGACCACTTGCCCAAGAACAGAAATCAAAGAGGAAAAGGTCTTCAAAATGCACGATATTTGTGGGAGAACGCTTATCCTACGGAACAGTTTGAAGTCGACTTGAACCGTCCTACGCCATTTGCTATGCCATACGGATTAAAAATTCGTTACGACATCGAGAAAGCATCTTACAACCAATCCAAGTTCTATTATCAAGTATCGCTCCCGCACTTTAACGATATCAAGTTTCTGGAAAGCGCTGTTGAGCGATACGAACACCATTTGCATCTCAAAATGCAGCATCCGCAAGTTCCCATGGTCCCGTTCACTGACATCGACTTGATTTGGCACGCACACCTTCATCATCCACTGAACTACAAGCAAGTGACTTCAGAAATGTTCGGGGCAGTAGTGAACCCTGGAAGCCACGACTCGAGTCTCAGCCTGGGAACCACTTTGCACGATTCTGAGACTGGCACGAGAGCTGTATGGTCAGCAGCTGGTTTCAAGTATGACAAACCAGGAGCCGTGTACAGAGGTGACCCTCCTCATCCCATTCCTCCTCGACAAAATGGGTATTACGCTTCCTTAGGAAGGCTTCAATACGAGATGAAAATACTGCAAGTAGAGGTTGTAAATGTGGATGTGAGCAAGATGTTCACGCTGCGAATTTACGATCCTACGGGCGGTCTGGTGGTGGATACAGTGATTCAAGGTGGACACCGTCGCAATATGACATCCCAGTGCATTGTTGACAACGAAAACCTCCACAAGCTTACGGTATCTTTGCACCAGAAAGCTCTACGGGGTTTCGAAAGGGTCATTGGTTCATCTGAAACGAGTTTGCTGTCTTTCATTGACGCATGCCCATATGGTGGAGCAATACCTGAACTGCCTTGGGTGATCGATATTCCATTTAGTGCTGCACGAGCTATCGTGAGACTGTCGGCCAAGTTGAGCCCTCCGTCTATCGAAGGTTATCGGTTTAAAGTAGAGCCAGAACCTTACTTTGCAAAGGTTGACCATCCATCCGTGGTACTCAGTTTTCCACAGTCTATGTTCTCACCCAGAGATCTGGCAAAAAATTACCTGCCTTGTGAATCTGCGACGCACACTTTGCTAGACTGCAGAGGGCGGGAGTCCTTCAAGTGTCGCGTTGTCCACAGTACTGCAGGTTTGCTATCGGCAGTGGAGATCATCAGTCTTGATGGTGTTGTTGTTGCATCTGCCCACACAATGGATCTCAACACTCTTCCCGATAAAGCAGCAATTGAAGATCACACAAGATGCGCCTATTTAGACCGTGTTGAAGGCGAAAGAGCCATGCTTATCCGGGGTAAAAAAGATTGGGGCATTTGTATTGGAAAATGGCAGAGGGGGAAAGTGCTAAATCGTTCCGCAGGCCAAGTTGAAATAACACTTTTTAAGCTCAAAGGCGTGAGAGGATGGTGTGAGGTACGCAAATTCAAGGGTGGTCTTTACGTGGTCTATCTAGAAACAGCTGTCTTTGTTTACGTGGATTTAAAGAGAGGATTGTTTGTGCTATCTCCATCGGCGCAGGATGCTCCAGAAATCATTGCTTTAGCTTTTTCGATGTCCATTCTCTATCTCCTCTGCAAGCCTTACAATCCGACACCAGCTAACGTTTCGTCACCATCCTTTCACAAGAAAGCTAAAGAAGATAAAGTGACCCCGATGCTTCTTGCTGCTGGATACAAGAGTTCTACAGTTCCAACGAATGTCTATCTTTTACGAAGCTTAATGGGCCCGTCAGCATCAGGTCCATCCCTGGACGGTGCGGGAACGTATGATCTGGATTCAGAATCCGGTCTTGATTGGATTAGAGAACTCATCAGAAAGAAACAGGAAGCATATCTTTTTCATTATATGAGTGGTGTGACCTATGAACTTCCATCCGAAAAGGAAGGTAGCAGCACCTTACGCAGGACGAATGGAAGTTCCTTTACCTTGTAAGGTGGCGAAGAAAGGGACAAAAGTCAGTGTTGAGAGGACGAAACGATTGATTAAATCAACCTCGAGAGTAAAGAAACCGTAATCTGATTACGTTTTACGATCTATCGTTGGACATTCTCGGGACCGTAATTCATTGTTCTCATTAACGCGAGTCCGTAATAGATTGCGTCGTTCGAACGTCCCTAATTTTTCCCATGGATCTCGCTGCGGTCCGTTTTGTGGGGCCGGTTTTACTGTCACTTAAAATAGCGAGGATCCCTTAATTTGACAGTATTTAGTTATAGATTTAGTTGGGAGGTTGCTAAGCACGATCGAAGAGCTAACGTCTCGTTCGACTCAGTTTCTAGAGTGGTTAGCAAACATCTCAAGTGCACCCACGTGAAAAGGACAATCAAAGCGCGCGTAGTATTTACTACATTGTATAAAACTTATTAGTAAAATCCAACTAGTGGTCTATTATCAATGCTGCGTTCTGATTGGTTGAGCTACTACTAGGCTAGATGTTATAGCCCACTAGTAGCGAAAAGCGCGGGCTTTTTGGCGGCAAAAAAAGGATTAAAGTCTAGCTTTAACTAGCTAAAAGTTTTTTATTCTCGATATTTTTGACCAACTAGTTGGATTTTACTAAAACAATTATTCCTCTCGCCCTCATGGCCTCTGAGTCAATAGCCCATGAGGCCTTCGGCCTCATGGGCTATTCACTCAAAGCCCTTTCGGGCTTGAGGAATAATTGTTAAATATTTAACACTGTGCCGTTGAACCATTAGTTTTATAGCATATCAGAAAAGAAAACCATTTAAATGATAGGTAGTAAGAGAGTGGAAAGTGTGTTTTCATGTGCTCGCTAATACGAGTAAAGTTCATGCTTTGCAAATTCTTCTCTTAAAAATTTCTTTTGCTGAAATTTTGCAAAATTATAGTTTCCTGTATAAAGTGACTTGTGTTGTCATGCGTCAGTAGTAGATTGGTAGTTGGCCTACCAAAGCGCTAGCTTTAGATCTAGCCCGTTTATCTTTTAATAATACATATTGTTAATCTCCTTATATTTGTTACATGCCATAATCGAGATGCAACTATAAATAAAGGAAATGAGTAATGATTAACTGCAGGTAAATATTAATATCGTTATTGAGCTATGATTGACTTTATAGTCAAGATGACATTTTGTATGATTAATATGTTAATTGAGTAATTGCTGGTCTGTCCATACTTCGTTGTGCAGCCTACATCAGACCTTGGCTAGTTTTACCTTTAACCTACTTTAAAATTCCGTACATCCTTTATGAAGCCTTCCTCTCTAATAAGCACCCTCCCCTCCCCTAATTATTCTTCGCTAATAAGTGATAGACTGTATTAATCATTCATGACTGTAAAACTTTGTGTGGACTGATCCAGAATGGTTTACTCACCAGCTGGAAGTTCGGATTTGTTTCTTATCCTGGGCTGCGTGACTTCCAACTTTTTGTACTTGAGCTTTTCCACTTTGTATTCTAGTTCTTTATAGAGAACTGATACCGTCGTCTTTGCTAAATTAAATAAGCCCCTCCTTTGAAATAAGTCCCCCGTCTCTTTTACGCCCCCCCTCAAATGGGTTTGAAATGAATATCCCCCCCCCCTCGCCGAGGGGCTTAATTAAGGATTTACCGTACTCAACTTACTCTAGGAAGTATTTGAAAACTTGCCCTAAGAACCCGGCCACGGAACAGCGAAACATATTATTCAATTTATTATTTTTCTTCATTTTTTGTTCGATCCTATAATAAAATTCCTTTGAATGACTGGTTGAGTATATAATTTCAAGTCTTTCAGGGACCTCTAAGGTCGCCGAGAGCATCGTAAGGCTTATCAACCTGCAACTCTTGATTAATTTAAAGCGAATTCACGAAGTGCACCAATTGGTATCGACACGTGTGGGAGGTACATTGTAAATTAATTTTTCCACTTTTGTATCATAGTATCTGTGAACACCAAAACAATAAAATTTGTTTTGCTTTAATTCAAATGTTTTAAAATTGGCGGTGAGACTAGATGCTATTTTGAACTGAAATTCTTAAAACACTATAAAATACTTTACGTTAATGACTCGCACAGGACAACCTTGAATCTTTGTTTAAAACACTCTAAAAATATTTGACATTAATGGCTTGCATTAAGGAAAACGTGATTCTCTATTTACAAAAACACTTGTTTACTGGGTAAAGCATTGACATCTGAGGTCATGGCATGAGGTCCAAAGTGTCTTTTCCCCTAATTTATGTTCCCCTAACACCTTCATTCGACGCTTAAGAAACTGGAAGAGAACTAGAACCGAAATGCCTTCCGCAATTGTTTCTGGGATCCTTACTGGAGACGCGCCGCTCAGCTATTGGCTTATTTGTCCCCTGTCCCTATTAACAGTCCCAGAAGTCTTTGCAAAGTTAACTCGCCCCAGTTTCCTTTTGGTTTCTAAAGTGGCGAATTTTCATTCGGCATATACAGCTATTTCGAGAAAGGTTGTCGGAAAGGTAATATGGGATATGATCAATACACTGTTTCTGACGACTGTACCTGTCGAACCTACTTTTGTTGCTTTCCTTTAGCACTTGCAAACACATTTCCGCGGCCTTTCGTACCAATTCTTTCAAATTTCTTTAAAGAACAGTGAACTTAAAACCACCCAAAATGCCTTTCGGGATTGTCGCGTGCACTTTTTCCGACAGTCTTTCTCGAAATAGCTGTATACACATATTCACATACTGTACAGCTCGATTGCAAACAAGAGAGAAAATTCTCTCTTTGCACACTAGTGATGAAAACTTATACCCCTATATTCATATTAGATGATCTTGTATGGTCCTTGCTATTGCTGTTAGTAACCCGGAGAAAATTAAAACCAATAATGGCGCTGCAGGTTATATTCGAAGTTCCCTGGCGGTACGCAATATTTTGTTTGTGAAAAGCAGCGGCCACAGAACTGGAATAACTCATTCATACACGTCGAACGTCGTGTCGGAGCGGCTGACCTAGTAGGTTTGGTGAACTACATCCTAGTCTTCACTCCTAAATATTAACTTTCGTCTCATTGGATTCCAGCCCTCGTTCCTATTTATTCCTCTCCGAGAAACTGTTAGTATGTGTAATCAAATGGTGACGAGTGAAATTAGGGAATAATTTCACGCGCGTTTTGTCCAAATCCTAATATTTTTTAGGATTTGAACAAAACGCAAGTGAAATTATTCCCTAATTTCACGAGAATACCATTTGATTACCTATTAATATCATGGGTGACGAGTTACGTTGGATAAACATGTCAAAAATCCAAGATTGCTAGGATCGTATCCGGCGATCGAGAACTCCACTCTCTTAAATGTTAGGCCTTAAATTCAGCATTTTTCAGACTTTTTCAGCAAAATTCCTGTTAGAATCCTTCTTGATGTCCTCTTATGCGTTCAGGTTTTCCAAAGCGTCTTTTTGTGCCGTGACATCTTCATTCACGACATTTTAAAACTTCGTCGCCATCTTGACACTGAGACGTACGGAAGGGTTGCCATGGCAATTTTGTAATTTCACATGTGAAATTACAAATTAACGCTGAAATTTCGCGCCAAAATTAAGGAGTAATTCGTCACCTATGATATTATCTTTGAAATACCGCAAGTCCAAGGGAGGATAAAGGGGACAGAGAAGGCATCCCCCATACACACCCTATTCCATAGGTAATTCGTCTCGTGTTATTTCCCAAGGGGAATTAGTGACAGCCAATCACATAGCGCAAATGTGTTCCGCGTGGATGACCCACGCTCAGAGCCACGCGTCCTTCACGAATTGAGGCAGAACAAAACGGCGGAAGACGCGGAGAGCGATGTTGCTATTCGTTTTGTCGACGAAAACGACTACAGAGAGATTTCTGCTAAAGCTGTGTCAGCGGAACGGAAATTAAAAAAGAATCGCCCTTCCTGGCTTGTTTCTAAGCATTGTTACGACGTTGATTCGAGCGAAGCTGAGAGTTCTAGCGAAGAAGATGAAAAAATCGGTGCAAGCTAGGAGGAAGCTGTAACCGAAACGGAGAGTGCCAATGAAATACAAGAAAACGTAGAAAGCACTTATTCCGATGATAGTTGAGCAGATGAAGCGAAGAGGAGGAAAAGTGCAGCGGAGCCTAAATCTGCGCCTTCGAGTTCGACCGTCACTATATCAAGCAAAAAGGCGCCGAAGAAATTAAATAAACGGAACAAGAGTCTTTCGGAAGAAGAGATAGAACGATTCTTTTTTCCCAGGTGAGCGCCGACTCATTTCGCTTCAATATTCAGGAATGCTCTCGATCTCTTTACGTATTCATTGCCTTTCGCCCGACATGTTTTGCACGGAGTTTAGTCATACGAAACCTCCACGAAACATCCACGCAGCGCGCGAGGTAACTTTTTCTCGATTCCAAAAATAACTGGAGACGAATTACCTATGGAATAAGGGGTGTATGGGGGATGCCTTGTCTGTCCCCGTTATCCTCTCTTGCACAAGTCTTATGATAAAAGGTCTCGTTTACCTCATCGCCTTCCTATTACACGTACCAATAGCATGAAGCGGGTTCTTTTACAATGCAGTTAAACAAAACTGTGGGATAATGTCAGCGACAATGATCAGTGTGTCCGCTCTTCTGATGTAAAGAAGTTCAAAAGAAATTACTATGATTCAGTCATGTGTAAATTCACGCCTGGCAGTTTTAAAATTGACATAAATTTTTAGCTTTCAAATGATTTAATATTTTTAATAATTTATTATCTTAAGTACTTTTTAAGTTTTTATTCATGTATAAATTCGAGTAAATTCTTGCCTGAGAAGTTGAGAATTGACAGAACATTTTTATCGTTCTTAAAGTTGATATTTAAATTATTTATTTCCTTAGTATTTTAAAAGTAGGTTGAGTTTGATCGTCCGGGCGAACGTAGTCCTGAATAGGACTGTTGTTGTTGACAGTGACTGACGTTTCGACAACCTGTGCGGTAGTCATCTTCAGAATCTAGACACAAACTACAGTCTACTGAGAACTTTATTGACGCCATTAAGACATTACAGATACCAGACGACCACAAACTAGTGTCCTTTGACGTGAAATCGATGTTCACCAGTATTCCTCTTCAACTGGCTCTAGACTGTACTGAGAACGCTATTAAGAACTCTACTGTTGAACTACCACTACCTACAGACGACATTATGGACCTAATCAACCTCTGTTTGACTTCGACGTACTTTCAGTACAACGGCAAACACTACAAACAGTTACACGGTACAGCTATCGGCTCTCCAGTTTCAGTTGTTGTAGCGGAAATTGTGTTGCAAAACACCGAGGAACAAGCCCTAGCTACCTACACGCGAACTGTACCTCTTTGGTTACGTTACGTTGACGACACATTCACCGCCGTT